GCACTCGACACGCACGATCTCCGCAGAGGGTTGCGCGCGGACCGGACAAATCGCACTCTCGCCTGCATTTCGCGCACTCGACGCGCACGATCTCCGCAGAGGGTTGTACTTTCGGTTGACGCTGTTCGTCCCGCACTCCGCCTTTAAGAGAGAATTTATAAAGTGGGGAAATGTTTTTTCATTAGGATATCTCCCGTGCTAGTTTTCCATACTCATCCATACTCACACTTGCCTGCTCATTGCATGCTTGCATACTCACCCTTGCATATCATTGCATACTCACCCTTGCATATCATGCTTGCATACTTACACTTGCATACTTTGACACTGGCATACTTCGCACTTGGATGCTTTCGCTCTTCCAGCGTGTGTGTGTGTGTAAGTGTGGAAGTGTCAGTGTGTAAGTGTAAGTGTCGAAGTGTCAGTGTTCAAGGGATTTTCCGGAAGAACCCTTCGCAATGCTTTCGGGAATAATATATATATATATATGTGTATATGACATTTAAGAAAAAAGGAAAAGGTAAGCGCGGTAAGAGTCCCTTTAGCACGCCCCCCCTTTTCAAAAACAAGAGGCCTTGTCGAAGGGGGCCCTTACCTCCTCATGGTATTTTCTTTGTAAATGGAATAGAAATCACGCCACTGCGCACGCGCGCACGCCCGCGCGCCCTCTCTCTCTCTCTCTGTCACTGAGGCCAAGGCCCAACACTTGGCATCAACGGAGCTGGCACCTTTCAAACTGCATGAGGAGCAGCTCCTTGATGTTGAAAAATGCTTTCCTTTAACATCTTCTGACTTGCTCTTCTGCAAAGATGAGAGTTGGAGCTTGATGCACTTTAAACATTTAAACATCTAGGGCCTAGGGCTTGCTACAGTACCACCTCAGCAATCAACCTGCTTCTCACATCTACCCATCCCTCAGCCTTGACAATCTCTTCTTGAAGCTGCAACTTGAAACCGTTCTCAACCTCAACGGCTGGGTTTCAACGCACATCCTGCAAAACACCTCTCTCTTGAGACCAAAGAAACGACATGCGTCTGCTTAGCGGCATCTAAAGAATCTAAAGTTAGTAACAAACTGTCATCCTGTTGCCACTTTCTTGGTCCATTTCGATCATCTCCTCCAGGCTGCCCTGCCACTTCCAAGAAGCACGGGATAAACTCCTGCAGTTCTTGGTTCTCATCTTCTCATTCATCCAGCTGCTTGTCAGTTGGACAGCAGACAGACGTCACTGCAACCGGTCTAAAAGCAGTGTCGCATTCTGCTTGTCATGGTGCACAGGGGAAAAACTTGAAACCGCAGCACCTGCCTGGTCCCTCGGACATAGCATCGCAGTAGCAGCTGGGGACCTGGGCAAGCATGGCGTTGACATGTGCTGCATATTAACAGCGTCACGCTGCTTAGCCCTCGGCACAAGCACGCCAGCCGCCTGCGGCTATTGAAGGTCAAACACTTGAAGTTGAACAGCAACGAAATTGCAACAACCCGTGAAGATTCACTGTTTGAAACACATAAAAGAATGTGATTCGAAGCCACCATAGACATAGAAATGTAGGTCGGTTGCTATGCAAAAGGCTCACAAAAACGCTCGTCACCCAAGAACATTCACTGCAAGAAAACTGCATTTGAATGTCCCATGCTTGGATCGCCTGAAATGACAGCGCTTGGCCCACAAGTATCGGGGCCTTCAGGGATGAATGAATATGCGAATGACTGTTGCCACTGAGGAAGCTGAGATGCAGTCGCTCCATACGGATGTGCTTCCGTCTGTCGTCATGTACACATGGCCTCCTGTGCGAAGTTCAAGCCGCGGGGGTGGACAGAAGCTAGCTACAGAGCTTGCATTGCTGGATCAAAAGCAAAGAAATGAAACATGACAATACTGAGAAGATGTGGTGTGCACTGTTCCAAAATGAGCTACAGTATATTGAACTATTTTGACACCAATGAGATTGCAACAGGGATAGATTAGATGTGGTCCTCAGAGAAAGAGTTATAAAGAAGTTCAGAGACAATGATGCTAAATGAGTGGGCAAAAATACTCTACAACTCTACTAGACTTGAAATGTTTCGTCAATTGTCAAGCAACCCAGAGATCAGACTCGTCCTTGAGTGGGTAGACACGACCTGAAGCTGCAGCCAACAGCATCAAACATGAAACAATTTGCCACACGATCAGCTTGTTCGCTGCCAGAAGGTATTCGTCTGTTCCATTCTGTCATGTTCTGTCTGCTTCCATTGTATATCTCCCTGAACATCCGCACATCGTCGAAGTGATTCCCTTGGGCCAGGCCTGAGCTCATGTGAGTCCAAACACCATTCCTAGTGTTTGGTTTCAGAATGCTGCAAAGCATTCCCATAATCATTCGTCTTTCAACTGATAAAGTCCGAGAGACAGAAACATTCAGAACTTCAAAGTCCCACTGAGAACTTCGAGAGCTTCCAGAGCTTCCAAGCGCCTGCATCCTGTTGTCAAGTAGAATGGCGTGCCTAGCTGAGATCCTCATGCGGGCGAGGCCTCCTCTCGCCAGCTTCACCGTGCTCCTCTTCCTCCTTGGTCTTCTCCTCTTCCTCCTTGCTCTTTAGAACCAAAAGGTCGAATTTCGGCCTTGAAGCTGGGATCGGTCACTGGGAATTCGTTGGACAGGTGAAGAAGCGCTGAGCAGCCGGCAAGACACCGGTGTTCTGACCAAGAATTGAAAGGCCCAGGAACAACCTCGACTATACAAAGACTATATTTAGGGGCCTGCGTTGATTCAAACGGCCTTTGAATTGTATGATTGGCATTGATTGACCTTCTTGTGTCCTCCTAAGCGACATCTGAGCCCTGTGCCAGCTCAATTGACTGACCTAGGTCAAGGCGGCATACAGGCACATGGCATACATTCATATAATTCATTGTCATTGCCCAAGGCCAAGGTGCTCCGCATTGCTCTACATCTATCTGTATGCATTGCCCAAGGCCAAGACTCGCGTGACTGACAACAGCGCCCGCCAGGGCAAGCGCCGCTCCCGCTCCCTATGGCGTGTCTGCGGGTCATTCGACTCAACTGTGATGGGTAAGTGTTGCAGCACTCCAGGCCCTGTGTGGTTCAGCACGACTCTTGAGACAGGCGGCCCAACTAAACAAGATTTGTGACTTCGGGGTTCAAGTGGCAGCTCCGAGCATTTATACAACTTGTCTCTGCTCTTTCCTTAAAACAAAATGCAGACGGTCATCAACTTTCAGAGTCTGAGACTTCAGGCATCGGTCTTCGGCGTTTACTGCATCCACGCAAGACATAGAAGCAGGATTCAACAATCACCTTGGCTTCTGAAGGCGCACGGCACTGCGCCAGAATGCTCTTCGATGCTGTGCAAGTCAAAAGGGTTGGGTTCGCCAACTTTAGATCCATAATTATATGGCTTGGGAAGCTGCGGTTCTGGTGGTGACTTCCATGTCGCTGTCATCACTCTGCATGAGGTCTTCCCTGCAGAGAAAACACACACACACACACAAAGACACCAAACCTAAAGAATCTACATTGAAAGGTGTCGACTTGGCGTCAACTCTCACTTGACGATCACCGAGTCTTTAGCTGTAGCTGAAAGCACTGGAGTCCCACCGGCCTCCCGTGGAACAAATCGGTCACAGTGCGCTCGGCATCCTTCACCAACGTACTCACCTGACGAATTTGAGGGCGGCATTGAGACCAAATGATTGATTCTTAAAGTTTAACTCTAAACTAGAATTGTGTTTATACTATATACTATATCCGCCGACCCCGGCTGAAGGAGGGGGAGCGCGCGAGGGATTACAGGTGCGGGAGCCTTGCGCTTCTTCGTCTCAGCACGATCCTGCAGGCAACAGACGCTTCCACTGCTCGATGCTGCTCGAACACATGCATCACTGGAGCCGCAACCT